AAGCAAGGAAGCAATCAAGCAAGGAAGCAAGGAAGCAATCAAGCAATCAAGCAAGGAAAGAAACGCAAGGAAAAGGGAAGAAAGGAGGTAAGACTTTGTATTTCATTTTAATATTCATCAAAATACAGCATTCCTAAAGCAAAATATTTACCTTTGGTACAAGCTCCCAGTAAGTTAACAATGTTTTTATGAGCTCCCACATGGATGAGAATCTTCAACTCAGACAACAGGTCGTTGTGGTCTGATTCTGATGCAGTTTCTGAAAACAATTACTTTTCTAATCAGCAAACGTGATTAAAACAATCATTCCAGATGATAAAACTACAAATGATCTCCTAAAAGAACTTCAAAGAAAACCATTCTATATAGATCTATATCCTATGATCTTTGGGATCAATAAAATTTGAAGGTTTTTATCTAAGGAAACGGGCCGGTAACTCACAGTACGAATTGGGATTGAAAATATATATAAGTATGTACTACTCTAAACTCCGAAAGCATACAAAATAACCCATAAAAGGTCAGTGTTCTACCTTTGAGAGTTTTGACTGCTATTTTGAGGTTTCCTTTCAAGGAGATAGCCGATCCTCTTCGGTAATCTTTTCGTTTCGCCAGTCTGTATCTACTATTAACAGAAGACCTGTCATCCATGACTAAACCGCCCTCTGTCTCACAGAGAAAGACCTTACCAAACGTCCCAGAACCAAGCACATCACCTGAAATATCAAAGGATCTAGTTAGATTTAGCGTGTGTGTAAGTGCATTGGCATATAATACTTCCGTGCGCAATAGGAGATATTTAGAGTTACACTCTATTGCCTTCATATAATTTCTATATATGTTATTGTATTTGACCCAAATGCCTCGACGATTGTTTAAAGGTGTTAAAACCGTAACTCTAATATCTGCTATTCCGGGTTTCAATCAGCTGATAAGTAAAGCGCCATTGAGCTTCTGGAAATGGCGCTATATAAATGTTAATTATTATTATTATTATTTTATTATTATTATTATTATTATTATTATTATTATTATTATTATTATTAAGTCTTCGAATCTCATTATCTGCTCCAAATGTTGTCAGCCAGAAAGAATTTTATTGAAAACTTGCGATTCAGCTGATGAACATTCCGCACGAGCACGTCAAGTGATGTCAAATGAAACCCATCAATGCAAATATAAACAAAGTTACCATCAAAGCCGCATAGGAACTTACGAAAAACAATATTTTCTCTTGGGTACTCCCAGACAGGATCATACGGTAGCTTGTGCACTTGCTCAATCAGGGGAGACCTAGGGTCTAGGCTTTTGATGAGGTCAGGAAGAGGAGGAGTGGTACAGAGGTAAAATCCACCGTACATGCGCTTCCGTCGGTACAAGATCAAAGCAAACACGATAAGGAATAGGATCAAGGCTATACTGACGATGATTACAGCTATGAGCTGGTCTTTGGATTGTTTTTGAACCTGTGATAACACGCTGGGATTTTCTGTAGAGGGAATTCACACAAAAAAAGCTAGCGTTATGTACTGTAATTTACTCCTTAATGAAGGAAGGAATGGATGCATGGATGGATAGATGATTGGATGCATGGATGCATGAATGCATGAATGCATGAATGCATGGATGCATGGATGGAAGTCGTAGATCATNTTTCTGTAGAGGGAATTCACACAAAAAAAGCTAGCGTTATGTACTGTAATTTACTCCTTAATGAAGGAAGGAATGGATGCATGGATGGATAGATGCATGGATGCATGGATGCATGGATGCATGGATGCATGGATGGAAGTCGTAGATCATACATGGTTCAGCTGACTTACCCACTGACACAGACGCAGAAGAGTTCCCATAAGTATTATTCGCACGGCACGTATAGACACCATAGTGTGATTCATCCATGGACATCACTATTACTTTACCACCATCTACCGATTGGACGTTCTCAGCAGCAACAGGGTATTCTCTTTCATCGTCAGCTTTTTTGAGCCAATAGACCGTAGGCTCTGGGTTGCCTGAAGCGATACACGTGACCTCGAGACTCTCCCCAATCTCCCTCAACAAGACCGATGCATCCGAGGTTATGATAACTGTTGGAGCCTCTGTTATAAATACAAGAAAGGATTTGTGTTTCGTTATGGTTTATAACCTATAGTATTGATCGGCTAAGATTTATTAAGACAATGTCATTGATGTATATGCTTAAAGGAGGCAAACATTTTCTATCGAGAACACTTTACTTACAACTTTACCACACAAAAAAAAACATTCCTGCCTCAAAAACTAAAACCTGCATTTTTCACACCGTTAGCAACCAAAGAGCTCCTCCACGCACACATATCCAAACGGGTCGGTGTCCACTTGTAGAACGAAGCTTGGGAATGGACAAAATAACAAAAACAAAGAAAGCATGGATTATGGTGAACAATGTGTATTGTTCTACATGTGAGCTGCGTTCTTTGTTTTATCTCACTATTCATTGTTTGTTCATCCACTCCCAGGCTTCGTTCTGCCCGTTATGGATTGCCCATCCAAACCTCTTTAGTAACAGTTACCCTTTTCCAATAAAAGGACTGTTTTTCTTTTTTAAGTGAATGGGCTAGAGAAGCAAGGTCCACCTTCACCTACCATGTACATTCAAGTATTTCCTTATCTGGGTGTGATTTCTCTTGTTCTCAGCCTTACACTTATACCAACCAGTATTCCGCTCGTGTTTAGGATCACAGATCACCAGATGTTCAGAATAAGGAGGTTTTTGATCATCAAGATGGTAAAACCCATTCGTAAATGACGCGCAATCTCCATCAGGCCCAAGAGGTTTGAGCTTGAGAGGGATATCGTTCCTGTACCACGTGATCTTTGGTTTGGGGTATCCAGCAACCACGCGACACTGCAAGTCGACCTGTCCAATGGTGCTCATAACAGTCTGGTTTGTTAGAGACACTTTTGGAGATACGAATTCTGTGGAATGGATTGAAGTAGTTTAGTATGATCTCGTGAATATGCCCAGTTAAATATATAGGTTGGTATGGTTTCCCAGGTTTCTCAATGCTATCTCACACATGCAGCACAAGAGGACACGTAGAGCTTTATTTTCAAGGGTAATTCGAGTACCAAGCTGCGCAAAAGTTTCCATAATTTTAACATTCAAAATTAAAATAATCGGCAATATAGATCGCATTAAAGAGTGCGAGCATTTGTTAAGCTGGTGTTTGCCTTGACTGCGATAGTCCTATTTCAATGATAAAAAAGTATGCGTGCTTATCAAGTTATATGTTGTCAGCTAACAACCACAAATACCGTGAAGTATTGAGCAATAAAACCCCACCTCTTATTGTGATGTCAACTGAAGCTGCACTGGTGCTGTTTTCGGTGTAGCCCAAACACTGGTACACCCCTGCGTCATCCATGGTAACGCTGTCAATCAAAATTGTCATCAGAATATCGTGGTCTTCTGCTCGAGTGTCAGTCGTTGTTCTGTTTCGTGGTAGTGGTTTGCCATCTTTTCTTACCCAATCAACACCTTGAAAGTCGAATCTGCTCGCTTTGCAGACTAGCTTTAGCTGCTCTTCTTGATCGAACACGACTCCTTTAGGTTTGGAGATGACAGGACGGACTGTTTCTTCCCCTATGAAGAAGCAACCAATAATTTTGTCAGTCCACGATGTATGTACCCAAGCTAGACCACAATGCACTATGATTGGTATCTCAGAAAAGGTCCATGATGCATTGTGGTCTATTTTGCGTACAAACAACGCCATGCATATAGTGATGATAAAATAAGATGTCTGTACCCAAGCTGGGCCACAATGTACCATGTTCACTATCCCAGATAAGGTTCATTCCACGTGACATGAAAACACCCCTGATATTTTTACTTACATGTCCTGATGACAGAAAATATTTGTTTATCGGCACCAACTGCATTCGATGCCTCGACTTTGTAGAAAAAGTTTCGTTTGCTCGGTGGTAGAGAGATAGCACTTCTCGTGCCTGCCACCCCAGGAGGGGGAGAGGCTTCCAGGTAACTCGGTATCCATCGTCTAGGACGTGGCTTACACTGCTGGTTTGATTGACGGCAGTGATCAGCTGACTGGATGAACCATTTGTATTGAGGTGGTGGGTTACCGCTGACCACATCGATCACGAGGGTTCTGTAGTCGTTGTACTGAGTGTAGTATGAGGCGATTTCGCCCTGTTTGGCCAATTTTGGTGATTCTGGAAAAGTCATAGTTGATGTAGATTATAATAACGACGTTAAATGTCCTATTACTCTAGTATTGACTAATAGATTATGGTCAATAGCTGGGATAACAGGTCGACAAAGAAGACAGGCACGAACCTCTGGACCTGCCATTGGGATTTCATAAGTTGAAAATTGCAAGCGTTATTACTACAGGACGTCTGTCAAACAGATATGTAAAATTTTAACAAAAAGGAGATTCTAACAAAAACCTGGATTTGCCCTTGGGCAGGAAAGGTTGGAACACTAAACATAATCTCATTGAACAAGTATGGTGCAAAATCGTAAATGTCAAACAGATATGCAATACTTAAGGTTTTTTTTTTCAGAACTACCTTGTACTTCAATTTGAACATCGGCTTTGTCCTGCCCCAACTGACTCTTCGCTATACAGCTCAGTATCCCACCATCATGCATGTGAGAAGCACTCTGAACAATCATCTCAGAGTGAGTTTCCAGCCATCGTATCTCGTATCGTTCAGCATTACTGGAGACAGTTGGTGTACATGTTTTGGAGATTCCCAGAGCATCTCCTGTGCAGGCAGCAATAGTTTTGCGCTTCCTTATCCACAATACGTCTGGGATTGGAGTTCCTTCCACGTGACAGGCGACTTCGAGTCGATTCGAACCATTTACTGTTAGTTTGTTCTTGAAGTTGTTGATCTTAGGTGGCCGGATGTCTAAAGACGTTAACAACATACGTTATCAATTCGATTCGATTACTGTTCGCTCTTAGAGTTTGACGTGTCCTGACTTAAATGACTCTAGAGATTGTCAGATCTGTTTAATACTGTGTCCTTTTCGAGATCAGGCTGTTTTGGGGATCGATACTTTTTTTCAATATATTTCTGAAGGATTATTTATTTGCAACATAACCACTAAAGAATTTCAATCTTTAGTCCCCCAATCACTACCAGTCCAGTTACTTTTTAACTCTAGCTACTCACCTCCCCCTACCCCTATAAATAGTATTTCTTCAGGATCCAGGCAGGACCTCTTAATGTGTGGCCCCTTATTGGAAGGCATGGTGTGAAAGAAGCCCCGCAAACCGTTAATCCTATCAAAAGTGATATCATCCCTTACCCATTCGTACAACAGAATACACCACAGAATCTTTGCCTAGAGCATTCGTAGCGTCACACTTGTAGAAGGCAGTTTCATTCATTGGCGGAGACACAAACTCCTTAGGCACAGGCAGCCCAATCCTTTTCCATTGATGGTCCTCAGGCTTACACGTCGGATCACGTTCCTTGCACGTGGATGAGGGTGCAGTATACCAGTTGATTGTGGGGGTGGGGTAGCCTTGGAGGACTTTGCACGGTAGCTTAACGTAATCTTTAGGCTTTGCTACTACGTGTCGAATCGTGTCTGATTCCTTGGCCAGCTTTGGTTTGACTAAAAGAGAAATCCTTTGTTCACTTACAAGGACCGAGTATTTTGTTTATTTGTTCACTCTTTCCGGATTGTTTGTTTCTCTRCCTGTTCGTTCCATGTTTTATTTCACTCATTTGATTAAAGGAAAATGTAATCAATCATTTTCTTTTATCATCTTCTTCATTGCATGAGCTCATTCCCCCCCCCCCCCCCCCCCCCCCTTTTATCCATATTTTTCTCTCTCTTTCTTAATTCCTTGGTCATTTTAAAATGCTTCTTCGTACTCCTGGCTTTTGTATATTCCTTAATTTCTTTACTGTAACTTACCACGTACAGCGACTGAAACAGTCTTACTTGTCTTTCCCACCATATTTCTTGCCACACATTCGTAATCTCTATGGTTCAGCTTGTGAACCGCTTTGTTTATCGTAAGAACGTGTGAGCCACCCTTGAACTTTACATTATACGCAGATGAAGTTGCTTCACACAACATGGAACCGTACAACGGCAGACAACTAGCGATAACTTCTTTGTTTATCTTCCAGAAAACAGCAGGTGGAGGTGAACCAAGAACCTGGATGGTTATGTCAACCATGTCGTTCTCTTGGCAGATGATATTTGGGGATTTGAGCGTTATAGTAGGTTTTGATGGATCTGGAAAATATAAACATGCATGCATAAAACTGTAGCAGATTAGAGTCGAACCTCTATTAAGCGGTCACCCCTGGGGAAACATCACGTGACCGCTTAATAGAGGTGACCGCTTAATAGAGGTCAAGTTTACAGTGAATACAGTAAGAAAAGCGAATTTTCCGGAAATTATTAAGTGACCGCTTAATAAAGGGTGACCGCTAAATTGAGGGCCGCTTAATAGAGGTTCGACTGTAGTTCAAAGGTTTTGCTGTTCCCAACCTCTTGTAAAGACCAGCGACCAGGTAAGACCAACCATATCAAATTCCATCAACTCCACCAAGCGTTAATAATCCCATTAGGCTGCGTTCATAATGTATGGCAGAGGGAGGGAGGTGGGGGGGCAGGTGAAAATTTGAAATGTGTCCAGAATAATTCTTAACACCCCCCCCTTAAAGTCTTCCAAAAATTGTGCATCCCCCCAATTTTTCTGATAAAAATTTGCCCATCCCCTCCTTTTTCCTACCAAAAT